AATACGACCTCAAAACGCTGACACACCTTCTTGATTCTGGATTATGCGGACGTACGAACTACGCAGCGTTTACGCACTATGATACAGGAAAGTCTTAACTCACAGCTTGCGTCAAGATTTTTATGTCTTGCTAGTGCTCGTGAAGTGAGCGACCGCGTAGTCATCACAAGCATTCCCAACCGCGTACTATGTCAATAGCTCAGCGAGATGTTGAAAACTCTTCTTTTTTTATACCATTTTATTTCACACCCGAAGACGACTTCGAGACGTATGAAGTCAAGGTAGTACCGTCTAAAATAAGGCTCATTCACGAATTTACCATCAACTCCGCAACAACACTTCACACAACTCCAGCATCACCAAGCGCGTCGCCATCGCCGGAGCCGCATCCTTTGCCAAGTACTTCGCTGAAGAATTCCCCAAGGCTGGACTTGAGGTCGTTATCTTGACTGGCTCGCAAAGGACTTTTGTGACGGAAAACCCGGAGTAATCGAGCAGCGCATCGCTGACTACCAGTCAGTTCCACAACTCGTTGAGCTGCTGAAGGACTGCGACGCCCTGGTGTCCACGATCGCTAGCATGAACCGAGGCCTGGCGATCGTTGACCTCTGCCAAGAAAGTGAGCGACTTGAAGATCATCTTCGAGACTGGGGAACAGCTTCAAGAAATCGCCAAACGCAATGATCCCTTGTTTACGTCAATTCTGGCGGAATTCAAGCTGTAGGCCCCTCAAGGCAAGCTGCGCTTTGACCAGCAGAAGGTGCAATGCGACCATCAAGAGCTATTCCCGCATGTGCACTTTTCCACGATTCTCGAGTTGCTCGAGAAGGCGGAGAAGAACCCCTCGGCGACTATCTAGACTCACTTCCTCAGCTAAAATGTGAAAGGACGTCAGCTCTCTCGAGTAGATGATGTGCATGATAGCATCAAATCTCCACAATTTCGGAATGCGAAAAATCCTTCACTTTCTTTTTGTGTGCGAATATCTAGCGTATGATTTGAGCTTCCAATCTTTCTAGTAACCAAGCCTACAGCCAAATAGAGAGTATGTGTTCTGTTTGCCACTGTGCGCTGTGATAAAGGCTTGAGCAGTACAGAAGTGTACCGATAGTTATTCGATGCATCAGAATGGATCCGACGTTGGAGTGCGCCTACAGCACCGAAGAGAGCAAAAAAGCCAGGCTGTGTCATCGCACGAAACAGCTCTGGGTTGTGTGCATGCTGGTGTAGCACATTGATTAATTCATAAACGAAAAA